ATTCATGATTAAAACATAATTATTTTAAGTTCAGTTTTTCTTTAAACAGGTAAAATATCAAATATTACACATGCAGCGAGTGGACAGTGCCCTTGAGACAGTTTTTACACAGGGTTGTTTTACTACTATGCTGTAAGTAACCTGAGGTAATATACCTGAACGTTGCTCTATTTTTAAACTGACAGAGTCACTCTAAATTTAAAGTGACACTAAACTCAGGAGTTAAACCTCATGGCTTGGTTCACACTGAGCATATTGTTGAAGCTGATTCAGCGGGACAAAAAGCTTATCCCAATCATTCTTATGGCCACTGTTCACACCTGAGCATTTTGTCGCAATAGGCAAAATGCCTGTTGCTGGAAAAATGACATGAGCTTCTTTTTGCAGATTACAGCTAGTTTTGTCCCCATAGAGTCAATAGGAATCACCTGTAAACGCGTGTTGCAATTGGCTTTGCGCATTTTAGCGCACGTGTGTGTGGGTTTGGCTCATTTATATGAATGAGTTAGAATCTGCTTATACAAACATGCGACTTACTGCAAGTGCGGTGTACACACATAGAAATGCACCACATGCGTAAAACCATGTAGCAAAAAATGCGCATTTCTATGCATGAAAATGCTGTCACCTAGGTGTGAATCAGGTACCTTAACTATTAACAAAGCTGGACCTTATTTCTGCATCACCCAGCTTTAGATCCTCAAATCATCTCTGAATTGGTACTGACTCTGTCCTTCCTTCTGGAGGGTAACTACTTCTGTTCCCCATGGTCCCTGCGTTTTGTAAAGAAGATACCGATCCAGCTTCTCTCCGGCTTCTGTACCGGAGAGTGACAGAGGGATGTGGAAGTGATGTAACGTACATCCCTTCCTGCATTCAGACGAGGAGGAGAAGGAGATCAAATGGAGATCGTGTACTGACCTCCGTTTGATCTCCAGTCACAGAGCTGCTATGCTGGTCCCGGGCTCACACCGGGCACAGCGAAAATCGGAATCGACAGCAGCGCCTGCGACGGAAGGGGTCTGCACACCCGCGCGCATATTACAAGCATCTCTACAGACGCCAAACACTTGTATGTAAATAGCCATCGCTGGCTGTTTACATTTTAAGCTGATTTCCCGCTGGTGCGCACCACTTAGCGGCGGGCCCGAGCGGGGCGGGAAGGGACATCCAAGAACCCACTGTCTGGCCGTTTAATTACAATGACCGGACAGCAGGAGGTTAAAAAATATAGTTTTTAAAGGACCAGTGATTTTAACATTCCTTAAAGTGAAACAATAAAAATGAAAAAGTCCTTTAAATATCATGTCTGGGGAGTCCCCTTAAACTGCCTGTAAAATGGCAAATCAGTACGTTGTATAGAACCTGTTGTAGGAAAAATAGCATTTATAAAGAAAACAATGACATAAAGAAAAAAAAAGAAGTGTGTGGTCCCCCCTACCTTTTAGGTCTGGTAGGAATGTTAGGAGGGATGCCAAGTTACAATTTTTTAAAAAAAAGGGTGCGGGGTTCCCGACCAAAGTCATACCAGGCTCTTAAGGTCTGGTAGGAATTTTAAGGAGGAACCCCACCCCCAAAATTGGGGGGGGGAAAGACATGGGGTCCCCCCTAAAATTCCCAACCAGAACCTTGATCCACGCACAGGCCTGGCAGGGCAGGAAAGGGGAGAGACGAGCAAGCGCCCTCCCTGCCATACCAGGCTACATGCCCTCTGCACTGGGAGGGTGCTTTTCCAGGGTCGCCCCTGGAAAAGCACCTTGTCCCCATGCAGATGGGGACAAGGGCCTCTTCCCCACGGGCCCTGGGGCGTTGGTTGTGGGGGTGTGGGCAGGGTTGCTTATTCACATCAGGGTACCCCTTTAATAAAGGGGCACCCAGATGCAGCCCCCCTTGTGAATGAGTAAGGGGTATTTGTACCCCTACCCATTCACTAAAGGGTTAAATGAAAAGTTTAAAAAACAGGCCAGACTTTTAGAAAAAAATCCTTTAATTGAAATTAAAAAATAACAAAGGATTGTCCTTTATTGTTAAAAAAAAAATGGATCCACCGACGTAAATCCTAAGGTCAATCATGACGTCCAGCATTGTCCATGACAACAACGACGACTTGACGAAATAAAAAAATAAATAAATAGAAATAATTTTTTAAAAACCAGACGTCCGCCAACCCTTCCCCTCGCGACGAACTCGCAGAATGGCATTCTGACAGATGCTGGCAAAATATAAACAACTGGGCGGAGCTAGCAGTGACAACTGTTTACATTTGTCCGGCACCTGACAGGACTTAGCTGTGTGAGTCATGATTGGGCAAAGTCATCATTATTTTGCCCAATCATGGCTCTCACAGTGCACTGTGCTGTGATTGGGTAAAGTCTTGCACCTGACCTGTGGTCAGGTGCATTGCTTTACCCAATCAGGGCTTCACAAGGCACTGTGCGGTGCGCGGTGCCCTATGGGAGTGCTCGGCGGGCGAAACAGACCACCGAATGCCCTCATAGTTCAAGTGTTCTGCGAACACATGAACTGCCGATGTTCGAGTCGAACTGTTGGTAGACTCGAACATGGGGACCATCCCTAGCCCCTATCTCACTGCAAGTTACGTAGCGGTCGGATGAAGGAACCAGCACACAGTCAGGGGTACAAGTGGCACTAGCGGAATTGTTGACTGCTGAAGAGGCTTCCCAAGGATATAGCTTTTGACTGGAGGATAAATAGGAAAAACGGGCAACCTGAGAGGTTAATATACACTGTCTTCTATTAGAGGAACCTGCTAACTAGAGTTAAAATATTTAGAGACCTAATAGGGTCCCTGTTGGCATGTTGGCAACTGTATTCAACATATGGTGCCGGCTACTGCATGATGATGCCGCTTTAATGTGAATTTTGTGATGACAGATGTACTTTAAATGGTAACTGATTGATGTGCAGTCAGGGACACATGCATTTTCCCTGTGAATTCTGGCCAAGCATAGCTGGCATGTATAGCTTTACAAAAGTCAATCTGTCTGCACTTTGTATACAGTTCAGCACGGTGTCTGCGGTGTGCGCACACCATGCCGTAAGCCAGACTCGGCAGTAAAACAGATTTCTCTAGCACAATACAGAACCTTTTAAAAAGACACTAACAAGGCTGTTGTCAGGCAAGGCAGAGGTTAATCAGATAGGGTCAACCACTTTATAAAATACATTCTGCAAACATTCCGCCCTGAGAAAAGGTGTTTCCCTGAATTGTTAATGGTTTCTATGGATCATGCTGTGAATCTGTAGATAAATACAGTAGACTGTCCAATGTTCTGTTAACAGTTTGCAGTCTCTGTTCATTTAAATCACTGTGCGGCCGCTCAAGATGAAAACATATTAATAAGCAGGACAGTGCGGGTTCTGTCAACAATAGATTGGTTTGCCAGTTCAGGTTCTGAGGTGGTAACTAACGTGAGCAAATCCTTTAAAAACTGCTCTCCCGTCCTCTCCTTTCTTAAAGTGTATCTAAACCCAAAACTAAAACTGTCATATTTGCCGCGTATTAGTCTTTACATGTTGTGGCTGCATTTGTTTCTTTATTCCGATTTTCACCTGGTGATCCTGCGAATAACGCACTTGAGGGTGTATTTGTAAACAATTTGCAGAGACATATATCCTGCAAAACTCCGTAAACATTTATATATGCGAATGGAGGCAAAAGCAACATTCTTAGTATAATTTCTTTCTAAGTCGAATGTCATACCAGAAAAATACTTCATTATGGCCACTAGATGCTGCTGAGGAGCATAGGAAAGAAGTATTTATTTCCTATGCTCCCCACTTTCATCTAGTGGTCATAAAGTTATTTTTTCCAGATATTACATTTGACTTGCCTCTATTTGCAGAGATCAAACATTTATAGAGTTTTGCGGGATGAATGGCTCTGCAAATGGTTTATAAATACACCAAGTGTGTTATTTGCAGGAAAACCAGGTAAAAAGAAAGAAAAACGGCCTGGAATAAAGAAACAAATACAGCCACAACATGTAAGGACTAATATGTTGCAAAATATTACTTTCATGTCTACACTTATTTCTCCACTGTATCTCTGGAGGGAGCCATGGTTATCATACAGCCTGGCCTTCAAAAGTGTTGGTCTTTGTTCATGGTGGACTGATGGGGCTATTAGTTTACTCAATAAAGATAAGGTTCTTTCAGTTCATCTCACAAGTGACTAGAACTCTGCACTTCTGGAAAGATGAACAGGTATTATCTGTACTTGCTGGAAATTTTCTTAGCCTGAAAATGAAAACTAATGCAGCCACCACATCTAAGGACTGGTAAGCTGCAATAAATACATTTTTTGTTTTGGGGTTTAGATACATTATGTGATAAAGGAATCCTAAAAAGAAATACACAAAAGAAAAAAACAAATGTAATTTCTGCCATACTTCTAAAATTGCTAGAAGCCCGACTGTCTCTGTCTCTCAATACTTTTAATCAATGACTACATATTTAGAAATATTTTTCTGTATGCACTTAAAATGCTCTATTGCTCCTTGGTGCAAAAGTATATCCTTTGCCTTCACCTGCCAACCTGTAGATGATAAGAACAAGACTAAAATGTGTTCTTTTTTCCAACTGCTACCATCAATAGGCATTTTTTTTATTTCAGGTTTACAGTAGTATTTAACTCTCAAACTTTCTTTTTCAATAATGAATCCAGATCAAACTAATATACATTGCCCAGCAAAGTGTTTCTTTAGATTTTTGCCCAAGCACTTACAGTTATCATGTTTCCAAACAGCTCCAACCCTCTCAGCTCCACTTCCCTGAACGTGCTGTCTAGTAGATCACAAGGGAGAGCACAGTCTTAAACCAGCTGCCCATCTACTAACTTGGAGAAGAGAGGACGGAGAAGGAAAGAAGGAGGCGAGAAGAGTAGGGAGAAGGAGGGAGGGGAGTGTCTTGCCCTGCTGTGCCTGTGTGTTTGTTAATACATACACAGCTTATTAGCACACACAAGGGTGGTTCCATAGGCCCCTGCAAGGGAAAGGAGTCACCCTAAAACAGGATATCAGGGCCAGTGCTCAAGGAACCAGCTGATTCTGCAAGAAACTAAAACCTTTACACATCAAGGCGCAGCATCCATTGTAAGTGATTTCATCAACATTTGAAATAGCTTGAAAACATTTTGCCTTTATAATGGTGGTGCCTAAACATGTGTTACATTGTGTGTTAATGTGCGTTGTGTTAAAGCAGCCCATACTTTATGAATGGGCTGCTAATGTACCTCAACGGGCAGAAAAACACACATCATCCTCTATTTCAACAAAGACCACCACAGTGCACAGTATGAATTGCACGGCAATGCACTTAGAACAGGTGAGTTGCCTTAAAGGGTTTCTAAACCCTCCGTTTTTTTTGCATATATCTACTGCTAGCAAGCAGTAGATATATGCAAAAAGTAAAAAAAAAAAAACGGAGAGTCACCCTAGGCTCAGTATACCACGAGCTGTCACGGCAGAGAGCCGTGACAGGATCGAGAGGTGAGCGAACGCTGGTATGTGTTCGCTCACCTCCCGATCTATTGAGCCGACCTGTGACAGTCTCATTGTCACAGGTCAGCTAGAACTATGAGGTGAGTGAAAAGCACTCACCTCATAGTTCTTCTTTAACATTGGGGAGAGGGGAAAAAATTTACTTTAATGTCACTTTAAAGTGATATTAAACCTTTATTTTTTTTTCTTTTGATGACTACGAGGCCCACACTTACATGAATTCACTATTCTTCTTAAAAGTTTTTTAATTCCTCGTTCTCTAGCTGGTCCCTAAGCCGCTAGCCCCCATGGCCTGTTTGCAGGTATCTCCATTGTAGCCAGATGATAAGGAGACACCCATGCGTGCGCTTTCCTGGCTGTGCCCACACCTAACTGTGTGCATCCAAAGACACAAACAGTGTGCGGCAAGCCATGCCCCGGCTCCCTCCACCGCTTTCCTCCCAACAGATTGACTGAAAGCAGAAGGAGCCTATCAGTGGCGGAGCTAAGGAACAAAGGGCGCTCTCCTCCCGCAGCACTCGGCCGACTGTCACTTTCTCTCCTCCCCGCTGGGACACAGAGCAGCGCCCAGCGGGGAGGAAAGAAAGCACGGATGCGCTGCTGTATCAGCAGAAAAATTGCACTTTTGGCATTTAGCCAAAAAACTGGTGCGTCTGCACTGCCTGCACCGGCGGTAGTTCTGCCACTGGAGCCTATTGCTCCTCTGCCCTCAGTACCCTTCCCTACAACCAGGAAGTTCAGGGAACGCTGTGTATCTTCTTGGACCCGTTGGATGTGACAAGCAACCACAGCTAGGTGTGGGGGGGACAGGGGAACATGCAAAGGTACTCATCGTTTTTGCCGTAATGCAGACAATGCATTAAGGTAAAAAATGCCTAGCCTTTAGTAATACTTGAATGCAGATATTTTATCATGTGTTACCGCAACATGTAAATAGGCCCAAGGCCAATAAAATGTGTGTGTACGTTTTGGTCAGGGAAGGGGGGCAAAGTCTTAAATGTATTTTCTATTTTTGGCATGGGATCCCACAGAGAAGTTGTGTCATGGCTGTCGACATAATATTGGCTTCTAACCTCTAACTTCACCTTTTCCATGGCTATGCCAACATGGTCTTGGCTTTTTAAGCAAGCATCTGAAGTCACTGGCACAGGTAAATACAGGTGAAACTCGAATAATTAGAATATCGTGCAAAGTTCATTTATTTCACTAATGCAACTTAAAAGGTGAAACTAAT